AAAGTTTCATCTTGTTTGCGTGAGCTCACAGCCGCCGAAAAAATACTATGTCAGCAGCTCAGAGATGAGACTCGCTCTGGGAAGGAAATTAAAGAATCCTATGGCCCCTTAGAAGAGATGAGTGTTAGAATAAAGGAAAAGATGGCACTCTTTTTTATCAAAGAATTACAGAGCACGGAAATAAGTCATAATGACTTGGAGTGGGATCGTGACGATCCAACTTCACTTCTTGGGAATGGAGCATTCGCCTCAGTTTATCGAGGAACATTCAGGTTACCAGGACAGAGCGAACCAACACAGGTAGCTGTGAAATTGTGGATTAGAGAACTAAACGAATCCACCGCAATTGGCTTCTTTTTTAAGGCAGAAACATTAAGGTGAGTGACTCTGGGCATTTTACGCTGGGATGCATTTAGGGAAAAGTACTGTGCATCAAGTAAAAATTAATAAATCTAGTTGCAGTTAATACATAAAGGAGGGCTGTCTAAAGAAGAATTTAATGTGATTTGACTGCAATAGAAATTAAGTTGATTTAGCTAGATTGGTATGATAACATAATAGTTGAAAAACCCCGGCACATTCGGGTACTTTGACATCCAAACAAAATTGAATAAAGGTCGATGCAATTATATCTTTTGTAGGAAGCTTGACTTTCCCTTCATTGTCAAGTTCTTTGGGAGAGCATTGCTGAAGGAAGTCGATCGATTGCGGGTGATCGACGTTTTGGAATTTTGCGAGGAAAACTTGATGAATCACATTTTTCAGAATCCTAAAACTATTCCTGGATTTTCAGGAATAACCTCTGCCAAGAAAAATGTACTGTGCTGGGTAAAGGACATAGCTGCTGCCATAGAATTCGTACACAACCAGGGTATTGTTCACCGCGGACTAAAGCTGGAGAAAATTTTGGTGAGTTTCAGAATTTTTTAAGAATTTAATTTCTACAGTTGCTTCGATTTCAGTGTGTTTTTGAGGGTCAGTTCATCATTAATTATCTAATAAATTAGCCAGAAAATTAAGACTTACAAATTAAATGTAATAGTTGTTAAAATCCGCTTAAGTACTCTTTAATCAATCGTTCATAGTGTCAAGTGACGAACTGCGAGCGCTTCCACCCAATTTTGCAGAAGAGGCCTTGTTATAGCAACTGTGCTCATATTTTTCACCTCTTTTTATAGCTTTCGCACAGAAATGCCGTAAACGTCTCTGGTTTTCGCCTTTCTGAAGAGGCTAAGATCATTGCAGACAAGATAACGGGGACTGATGTCTACCTTGCCCCGGAAGTGATCCGTTACAAAGAATACGATAACAAGGCTGACATATACAGTTTTGGTATAATGCTTTGGGAGATGTGGTATGGTAAGAGAGCTCTCCTTGAAGAAGAGGGACATGTGTCGGACCAAGAGGCTAAGGGTGCAAGACCTTCATATGTAAAAGACGCGATCAAGCCTCCAACTGGCTGGCAGGATCTAATGCAGCGTTGTTGGGATGGAAAACCCCACATTCGACCTGATGCGGCAGAGTGTCACAAGCTATTGACTGTGCTCTCCCAGGAAGTTTACGAACCTCCTTTGTGAACACTGATCATGAAGTTTTTCTTATTCTTTTTCTTTTAATTTTTTTCCTTTTTTTTTTTTGTCATCGCACGGTTTGTACCGCAGTTTCACAATCAGAAAAAAAAGTTGTAATGTGTGTAATGCCGTCTGAGTTGACTGAAAATAGCTGCAGTTATCATCACATATAATGTATTCATATCTCTAGTATTGTATCAGTTTATTAACGGAAGATTTAAATCATGGAAATAAATGTATCTTATAGCCTGTTCTCAATAAATTCAAGCGTCTATTGCTTATCATTAAACGCAATGTACCTACAGTTACCATTTTACTTATGTGAACGAAAGAACTACGTTTTACAAAACAAATACAAACCTTTGCATTTCTCAGAGATCAAATCTTTGCGTTTCCATGACACACAACTAAAAAAATCTATCCCTCTGTAATTAGGGAACTTTTCCCTAGAAACATTTTGAAAAAGTTACAAAACATTTGTATACCTATTACTACTCGAAGTATCATCGTAAATAATAAGAACCCATTTTTA